AGGACATAAGTTACGGAAACGAAGGTGATCATAATATAATCTTACTGAATTCTTTACGAAAAGGTCATAATATTATAATGGCGTTACGAGAGACGTAACAAATACCCGCTTGTTCTTTAATAATGCCGGTATTATTGAGCTTATCAAGCGAGGCCTAATTGGACGCGAACAGCTGGGCCGAGAGTCTCGTCGGTTCGTAACTCGACGTCTCTACACTTTACACTGATAATGTAATGGCTCCTATCTCGAACACAAAAGCCCGCAATAGATTAATGGATTTGTCTCGAATTGTCACTGAGTGTCAAAACAAACCGTGGGTGTATAAAGGGATAAAGGACGAACGGATCCCTTTCGTATATTTGCCTCCATCTCCCCCCTCACCCCCTTTCCCCCCTTCCTTCTCTTCGTTCGTCTTTTTTATCTTTTTTCTTTCTTTTTTTCCTTTTTTTTTTTTTTTATTTTTTATTTTCTTTCACTAAAACTCAAACTTTTCGTGAAAATTCGCTTTTTATTTTATTCAACACGTGTCAGTCGTGCGTACACATTATCCTATGCGGACGTTTTATAATAATTTATATATATATATATATTTGTTTTCTCTCTTTTTATCTCTTTCTCTGTTGGATAGGTTTAATCGAATTAAGTCTGAGTGGGGTTCCATGTTGATTTTAACGAAATCTTCGTCGTCGACTACTGTGCCTTACGACGGTGTTAGAATTGAAACTTTGCTTTGGTTCTCGGTCTACTTCTCCCTTTCTCTCTCTCTCTCTCTCTCTCTCTCTCTCTTTCTCTTTCTGTCTATATGGTAGGTTTATCGAGTTCGAAACTAGTCAACCATCCAATCGAAAGGAGCACCGTTCTAAGTCTGTCTCTCGAGGTTTCGACTGTCCTTGGGTCGAGCGAAATTAGTCGATAAACTGAGGTTTAAAGTTCGAGAACTTCTGCACGCTATATAGAGAAGCTAGAGAGATAGAGAGAGAGAGAGAGAAAGAGAGAGAGAGAGAGAGAGAGAATGGATTCTCATTCTAACAGTATTTCCAAGAGAAGCCAAAGGATCTAACTAAGTAACAAAGTAATCGTTTATATTAATGCATCATCAAACGAATCCGTGATGATAAATTGCAACGTAATAAGAAAATAATTATCACCTATCATAGAATTCGTGCGTTATCTCAATTTCTATGCTTTTCAATAATTAATACGTTCCTGACGTTTAGTCACGAATGACTTTATTAATCGCTATTCTCTCATTCGTTCTCTCTATTAAGAACGTGAAACACATAATAAATGGTAAAAAAGAATTTTTCTCTCTCGTACCATGTATACGCATATATACATATATTAAACAAGAAGAGAGATAGAGATAGAGAGAGAGAGAAAGAGAGAGAGAGAAAGAGAGAGAGAGAGAGAGAGAGAGAGAGAGAGAGAATCACGCGAGTTAATATAAGTTGAAAAAAGAGACGTCTGTAAGAGAACATAAGTAATATTCATAGAAACGATATGATCGAGTTCTCGGCACTTCTCCGAGAAATACGTCGAACGTTCTACCCTGAAGGCGCGTCATTAGACGTTTCGATGTTGTCTCGATGAAGCATCGGATTTCATTGGTGAAGCCTCGTTAGTCGTCGGTAGTATAGAATTTATGTTGTCACGTTTGCTACCCGATAACTCTTGTATGTATCAGAAAGGGAAAGAAAAAGAAAGAGAAAGAGAGAAAGAGAGAGAGAGAAAGGAGAGAGAGAGAGAGAGAGAGAGAGAACGATTGATAACCGTTATCAGTTTTTGTAAAGCAGCCTTACTCGAATAGAATGACTCATTTGGTTTAGTAATAATGTCTCTCCTCTTCTCATCTACTTCTCGTATCCATCTCCTTCTAATTTTCACCCGTTTAATCTCTCCTCCCTTCCATCTCTCCTCTCTCCTCTCCTTCCCCTTCCATCTCTCCCTGATCATGTCTTTTGCGTTGTAGCAATCTGAGTGGGTCAGCCGGATAAAGAAAGCACGATGTTGGTCGTCGTCTTCGTCGTCTTCGTCTCTTCGTCTCTTCGTCGTCTCTGTCATATAGTCGAGCAACGACAACGACGACGATAGACTTCCACGTTGGCAAATGGTCATTGAGTCAATTACGCGGATAAAGTGCACCATTGTGCGGCGCAGCAACGATTTTTCTAACCCGTTAGCTCAGTAATCAGGGGTCTACGAGCTTTTAGGACAACGCTCTCTTATCTCTTGGAAGAATAAAGATTGAAGGACCGAAATGTTTCTTTTTTTTTTGTATTTTTCTTTCTTTCTCTTTTTTTTTTTTTTTTTTTTTTTTGATATATTTTATTAATATGTTTTTCTTTTTTCTTCCTTCCTTTCGCCCCGCCCTTTGCTCCCAGTCCCTCTCTCTCTCTCTCTCTCTCTCTTTTTTCTGTCTACTCTCTATTCTTTAGAAATATACATTATTTGTATTTTATGAGATAAATCGTATAGCATAGTTTGTTCTTTCGATCGATTCGAATAATATCACATATTAACTGTGCCATACATATACATACCTGTCCAAAGTTTTATATCTTTATCATATATAAAAAAAGACATAGAAAAAAGAAAGAAAGGAAGAGAGAGAGAGAGAGAGAGAGAGAAAACTGTTTTGTTTCAGCGCCAAAATTATTGGTCTCATCCCTTCGGTATCGACGAATAGACACTGTAAGACCTGTTATTGGTCGACTATTCAATACTATATTTACCCGGGGAAACGTGCAATCCTCAGTCTTTACTCTCTCTCTCTCTTTTCTAAACGATGATGTATTCAAGGTAATAATCTATTTTTCTTCGATGACACACTGTACTCGCGATTATCATCCTCGGCTCCTATTATTGTCCTTGTGAGTTGGGCCGATGTTACTTCCGGTCTATCGATCTTTTCAACAGACGACAGACGAGGGTTGAACGATGGATAAACTTTTTTTTTCTTTTTTTTTTTTTTTTTTCGATGCTCGCTCAGTCTATCGTTCCTGTGGTCACGAAATGCTTACTTTCTCCGAACTTCGATAATAAATGTTCGATTGTTATATTTCGATACATATTTAATCCAACTCATTGCATCATTAATAATAGATAATCCGTATGGTATCATCGATGGTAACTAAATGACAGAGAATATATACGTACAAAATATATAGTTTTTATATAACAAATATCGAACTATCAAATATATATTAAATATATATTAAATATTTCCAAATGAAATTTTATATTCCAAATGATGATTAAATCATTGATGTATTCATGGTAATAAGAATATTCAAGGTAATATTTTAACATTAATATATGAATATTATTAAATCTATTAAAAAACAAGGCAAGGAAAAACGATTGATTTTACATTGTTTTATTATTATCCGAATTATAATTGTATTAAATTAATGTATAATGAAAAATTAGATAAATTAAAAATGATGATGGAATTTATTATTATAATTATTATTATTATTATTATTATTATTGTTATTATTATTATTATTATTTTGGTTTGTTTTTAAGTAACAAAAAAGTAAAAACATAAATAGATAAATAAATAAATAAAAGCTGTGGTTAAAGCAGGAATCGATATATCGTGAATGAATCCATGCCATTACGATTAGATTTCTCAACGATCTCACGACGCCCATCGGACTAATAAAGCTTGTCTCGCCCTCTTATTTCAAGCTCGTGACAGGAAACTTTTTTCTTTTTTTCTTTTTTTTTTTTTTTTTTTTTTTTCAGGAAAGAATTACACGTATAATGCACAATATAATACAGTCAGGCTTATTATCCTTGGTAAAATAAATTATTACAATACTTTGACTCTTTCTCTTTCCTTCTTTTTTTTTTCTCTTTTCTCGCGGATATAGAACCTTTAATGGATGGTTTAGCACGCGACCGGACAAAAGTTAACGATAGGTTTTGAATCGCTTACATAGCCACGTTTTATATTTCTTTCTCACTCTATTTTTCATACGTACCGTATAATACGATTACGCCCCGGATATATACCTAAAATACGAGCTATACATACATACATAATTTTCGTACTACCCTTAATACCCCTTTCTCTTTTCTCTCTCTCTCTCTCTCTTTCTCTATCTCTCTCTCTCTCCCTCTCTCTCTCTCTCTCTTTCTCTCTCTTTCTTCAATTGATCATAGTGAAAAATATTATTTCGTAAGTTTGATTATTCTTTTCAATGAAATCTCCGTTCTCACGTTCGGCGGCGTTTCTTTCATATAAATTTCTATATAAAAAATTAGAATAAAAATTTCATCAATAGCGATTAAGAATATATTATTTCTAATTCTTTCGGATAATCTATTTTTCTACATATGACTGTATTTATTTTCAAATAAAAATTCATATCTGTTAGAACAATTATTACGAATAATTCTGATCATAGCAATGATACTCTTTCTAAGAATATTTTCTCGTATCATTAACTATTTTAAAATAATTATTATAAATCATTCCAATTGTATGGTAATTAATATAATCGTATAACTATGTAATCGTATTACATATATAATTATATGAAAATATTCTTTCGCGTATTATTACTGTTAACATTTTCTTATAGAAAATCGTATCTAAGATAGAACAATTTCTTTTATAAATAATTCTAATCCTTAGTAACACACACGCACACGCATACGCACACGCACATACATGTATATACACTCTTTAAAAATATTGCTTAGTATTATTTTTTTTTCCAGTAAATCCAGAAGATGAATTCAGGTCGGTAAACGCTACTATAGAGAATTTAAAACTCTCATAATGATCATATTATTTGACCGAATAAATATCACTTTCGTTAAATGTGAACGTGTCGTATTGAATGTTAGGAAATAAGCAGCCACACGAAGGACCTTTTTTTCTTTCATATACATATATATCTTTCTCTCTTTGTTATTGTAGCAGAGGTTAGAGACGGTAAACAGACGAAGTGGGGCTTTGTGTTTATTCAAATTCAGTTCGACAAACGGAAAACAAGCGTATTCGTTGCGTGAGAGACATTACGAGTAACATTGCGTGCGCGTGCTACCACCGGAATACGCGTTCATCAGCTAAGTGCACCCAGTGTCTCCTCTCTGGGATAACTGGTGCACGATTTGTTTTAGCAAATGAAGAGGAAATGGGCTCCGTCAAATTCGCTTAATTTCAGTCGTATGTATTCTCTCACTCATTCACTCATTCACTCACTATTTCTATTTCTCTTACTCACATTCATTGTTTATATATCTTTTTTCTCTCTTTCTCTCTCTCTCTCTTTCTCTCTCTCTCTCTCTCTCTTTCATCAACCCTTGGTAACGTTCCCTCGTGTCAGTTTAAAACGTAACCCCTGTATTTTCCCACCCTCGATAAAAATGTCGAAAACGCGAGAACGACGATTTCGCTAATTACCTTTTCATAGAAAAAGAAAGAGGAAAATAAAATAATAAAAAAAAAAAGAAAGAAAAAAGGAAAGAGAAAACGAAAAAATGAAGAAAGAAAAAGAAGAGGCGATGAATGAATTTTGTCATCATATCTGAATATAATAATAGAGTATGATATTTTAGAGTGATAATTTTTTTATAAGTGACGAGTTTTAACGTTAAAAAAAAAAAGAAAGAAAGAAAGAAAAAGGATTTACGAGGAAGGAAAGATATAATAGTAACGATCGAATCACAATGTTCGATCTCTCTCTCTCTTTCTCTCTCTCTCTCTCTCTTTCTTTTTCTCAACTAGAATGATCTATCGATCTTTCCCAAGGGTTTTACATGCGATGTCACCGAACGTAACCATCGAGCTTACAATGGGGGGTGGTCCGCTAATGAATTCTTAGTGTCCGCGCTTGGCTTTTGAGCATTCCCGGACACGCGAGGTCGAAGAGCGTGAGCTCCTCGTCGGCCGGGGGTTAATTTAATACGCGTAGATCGCCTGCAGGTATCCGCCCTAACTTCCTCCATCGTCTACACAAACCAACCACACCACTATCACCACCCCTCGAGTAACTCGACATATAATACACCGTTATCCTTTTGCCTCCCTTTCTGTATTCTCTTTCTCTCTCCCCCTCTCTCCCTCTCTCTCTCTCTCTTTCTCTCTCTCTCTTTCTCTCTGTCTTTTTCTATCTCTGTTACTCTTTTACTTCTGTTTCGCTACCATTCGCCATGAACATGAGAGTGAAAGAGAGAGAGAGAGAGAGAGAGAGAGATAGAGAGGGAGAGAGAGAGAGAGAGATAGAGAGGGAGAGAGAGAGAGAGAGAAAGAAAGGTATATATATATTTGCGATCCTCTATCAGTGTGTCAGAGTAATGCGAGTATAACGACCATTGAAGTAATACCCCGAATTTAAACAAGATACATTTACGTGATCTTACATTGTACTTCGTAACAAGAAGACAAAGATAAAGATATTAATTAATAATTTTTAGAGAGAATGGTTAATGTATTGATTATTATATTGTTTAATTAACTTTCCTCGTCTGTGTATGTATGATTATGTAGTTTTGATATGATTTTGGGGGATGGAGGGGAATAAGGAAAATGGTATAAGCGTTTTCGACTCGTTCGTTCTTCTTAATTAAATATATATCACTCATTCTATTATCTTGGAAGAACACAGCCCTATTGGAAGATAATCACACCTGATTGGTATTGTCTTTGCCGACGGAGCGGAACGATACGAGAGAGTTGATAACGAGATAAATGAAACGAAAACAAGGCGAACCCGTAACGTGAATCGTGTTGAATATCGATCGGAGAGCGTTATATTATGCATTGGAATCGAGCTCGGAGTGCTGCAAGGGATAGTTTGGTACATCCTCTCTCTCTCTCTCTCTCTCTCTCTCTCTCTCTCTCTCTCTCTCTCTCTATCAATGTACCTACATACATATAACGAGAAAATTAATGAGCCGCCACAAGCGAGACCCGTTGATCGATGAATTATTTTACGCGAATAGGGAGAGAGAGAGAAAGAGAACATCAATGGACGATCGGGTTTCGTCTAGATTCATGTATTTCCGAATGAAAAAATATGACGATAGCGATCTTTCACAAACTTATACCTCTTTCTTTCAAAAGGAAAAAAAAAAAAATAAGATTGAAAATAATGCGAAAGTGTCATTGAAAAATCTACAGTTGAATCAATCAAGAGTTCGCGTTCAATTATCGTAAATCTTGAAAGAAATCGTCGAACTTGGAAAATGCTTTCTCGAATAAATAAATCACATAAGTCATCGAAACTTACTCGATATCCGTCTGGACTTCGTGGATATCTCAGTTCGATAGAATTCAAGATAGAAAACTTGACATTGATTATTTACGGGAACATGGTTCTACGAGTATCGTAGGGTCTTTCGAGTTCTTAAGTAAATAATTCGATCGGTTATCGTAATTATCTCGGTTGGTGTTCGTTCATGAAAGATTCAACGTATTTTTCTTGATTCCAAGTGACTTTATTATTGACGATAGATTTCTTTCGGTCGATTCCTGACTCATTGTGAAAATTAGACACACACACATATATATATATATATATATATATTATATATATATAGGTAGATAGAGAAAGAGAGAGAGAGAGAGAGAGAGAGAGAGAGAGAAGATAACGCGGTCGATCGCTTCGAGCATCGTTGCAGCCTGAAATTTCATCAGCTTCAAACGGACCGTTCCAATGGCGCGTCACAAATTCCAATCGAAAATTCGAACGCCGTGGCGTTCCAATGGTGGGCACAAGTTTCACGAGAAACAGAGAAAGCGAGAGAGAGTGAGAGAGAGAGAGAGAGAGAGAGTAACACGAACGACGACGATAGAGAGGATGACCATCCACGGTAATCTAACCCGGTACCATTTTCCAAGTGTATGAGAAAGAGAGAAAGCGAGAAATAGAGAGAGAAAGCGCGCGCGCGCGCGCGCGAGATAGAGAGAGAGAGAGAGAACGAACCACCCTCGCATTCGTCCATCGCGTCCGTACTAATCTGTGGTCCAGTCGTAAACCGTTTAATTCCGTTTCGTGATAAACCGCTCCCGCCGTTTATTGCCTTCACCCTCCTCCACCTTTATCCAGCGGTATAACCACCTTCCTCTCTACCCCCCCTTGAAAATTCAGGACCGGTTGCGCGCGTGCGTATACCACCCTCTTTCCCACTGGACGATGATTCCGGCCGGAGCAAACATAATTAATAGTTATTATTTATTCGCGTGGAGTTTATCGCGGACGGAGTCCAGACGGAATGAAAGATTACAAAGCTTGAAACGAGACTGGAATACCGAAGGTCGAGCTGTTCTATGATATTTATCTCTTTCTCTCTCTCTCTCTCTCTCTCTCTCTCTCTTTCTCTCGCTCATACTTGCTTTCCTTGTTCTTTATTTCTTTCTATCTCTATCCCTCTTTTCCTCTTTCTATCTTTTGCTTTGGATTTTTTACCTACAGTATACCTTAATCCTCTTTGCATTTTATAGTGGTCAAATACAGAGAGAGAGAGAGAGAGAGAGAGAGAGAGAGAGAGAGAGAGAGGAGAGAGAGAGAGAAAGAGAGAAAGTGGAGGGGAGAGACAGAAAAAGAAAGAGAGAACATTTTAACTCTATCCATTTTCTTCTTCTCATATTTCTCGACATTAAAAAAGGATCGAGAGGACCTCGAGGGGTTGTGCACTCTCGAATTATACTACTTTAGTTATGTTTGAAACAATGCTTATCTTTAACGATTTTACCCGTTATCTTTATTATTATACATGAAAATATGTACTTATATATATAGGTAATATATAGGTAAGTAAATACGTACATAAATAATTTGCGAAAGATGGTTGAACGATTTAAAAGGATATGTAGACGATTTAAAAAGGAAGATAATAAATGAAAAAGCTTAACGGATGATATACCCCTATCGATTTCATTTATCTATATAGATAAAACTTGATTAATTGTTTTGTTGTTATAAGGCTAGCCAGTTTTAGGGTAGAGAATACATTTTTCAATGTTATTCCATTTTTCAGGTTCTATATAGCCTTTCAGTCCCCCTCCCCCTCCCACCACCCATTCCTAGTTCTGCTATCGCCAAGAATTGCATCCTTTTACGAGCACGACGATATAGAACGCTTTATATAAATAAGGCCAGACATCGCGACGCGTCCTCCATTTTATGCCTTGCGCTATTCTATTTAGATAAGCGAGGATATTATTTATATAATAGAGAAAAGTAGAGAAAAAGAGACAGAAAGAGAGAGAGAGAGAGAGATAATATTTCTCAAAAATAGCAATGCCATTTAATGGTCCACAAATCACAAGACATGCATTCTATCGAAGCGCAGCAGGTGGTTAAGAGAAGATATATATATATATATATATATATCGAGAAATCGATTCTTGTGTCTTTTTTATTTTATATTAGAAAAATAAAAAAAAGAAAAAGAATCCAAGGATTTGGAGAAAAATGGGAATTGGTATGAAGAGAGGAGGAAGAACAAAAAAGTATTATAACGCATTCGCGTCAAATGCCATAAACGTTTGAACGACGGCGCGCAGACGATGAAAAATAGTTTTTTATTTGACATTTTTTCTCAATCTCTTATTCTCTTTCTCTCTCTTTCTATTTCTCGTTAAAATGGTCGAAAATATAAATCACGCAAGCGCAAGTACGCGGCCGGTTTCGTTTGACGATTTACGCGAGACTTTACTTAGGTATCACGCGTTTAATACCGTCGGAGACATCTATCAATTTAATTGGGCAATGTTAATTCCGTCGACGATGGCCTATAAACCGTTGGGGGTATTGCTAACGAGACTGACAGAGAAGGAGACAGACAGATAGAGAGAGAGAGAGAGAGAGAGAGAGAGAGAGAGAGAGAGAGAGAGAGAGAGAGAGAGAGAGAGAGAGAGAGAGAGAGAGAGAGGGTGATTCGGTTTCCCTATACGTTCTATCCACGGTCACGATTGCATATATATTGCATCCCGAGTGAGTCCAGAGTCCGTGGAGAGCTACTGGATACTGTTAATCAGTTTAGAGTTTATGTCCCTCCATAAACCCTCCTGGTTTTCTCTCTCTCTCTCTCTCTCTCTCTCTCTCTCTTTCTCTTTGTCTTTCTTTATATATCTTTTCCTTTCTCTTTTTCTCTTTCTCTCGCTCTTTCTCATCGTCTAGCTGTCATTAATAAAGAACAAACGTTGATAACTCGAAAAGTCGTGATATCAACAGTAGCTAACCATTTCAAACTCAAAAGCCTTTCACCGAGTTTTCCGTGCGATCTTTTTATTCTTTCTGTATGTCCAAGAAGGATAACAGAGATATGTTTTAAGTCTGTGAGAGAATCGGTGTTATCGGATGGTACTGCGGAAGCTCGTTACTCGTAACAAATTAAAAGATAAGTCGCTTGTGTTGAAGTATTGGTATAGGTAGTATGTCTCTTTGCCAAAGTATAGTGAAGTTCTGAAGGCGCGGCCTTCTTCCTTCGTGCGTTTCGTTTAGAGTGTTAAAAATGGTATTAAAATGTAAAGCCAACAAAAAGAGAGAGAGAGAGAGAGAGAGAGAGAGAGACACGACTTCATTCTTCGCTATCTATGATAATGATCTTGGTGAATATAGAGAATGATGTTTTAATAAAGGAAATTGGATTATAAACGAATTTAGAACTGTGTGTTATTGTTCTTCAAAATATATATACTTTCTTATAAAGTTTTATTTATTTTAGATCGATTTTTATTCAGATTTATAATTATTTTCAATTAAGACATTTTTTTTTATTTTTTTTAAATAAACAAATGAATGGTAATCTTGTAATCTCCGTTTCTCGTCATTTCACATCTTTAATATCTTTATAGTTTTATACTTTTATTATGTAAAAATTACATGAAATTGATTTACAAATCCTTGAAATTAATTGATCCTCATAAACGTATAGATAGATTTAGGATATATATATATGTATATATATATATATATATATATATATATATATATATATATATGGATGTGTCAGAGATGTGAAATTTGAAATCACACGTAGATATCTCGCGCGTTAGAGGATTAAGGTTCACGTTGTGGTCACGTATGCGTCGGTGACTGATACATTTCGAGTTTTAACGATGATCCGGGCAATAACTTCGGGCTTAAGCGCGGCGTGAGTTGTGGCTCTCTGGCGATCACCAATCATTGGTTATGTCCTCGGTAATTAACTAATGTTCTTCTCTATGCAAATTACGAGCGCTTTCGTGATACCATTCGATTCATCCTCTTGCGTCGGATTCGATGAGCCAATCGTTATTAGCGCTATGTTCAAATGAGAGAAGAAGTCATTGATAAACGGAGCGAAAGTTGATTATGTATTATTCGTCGAACTCTAGTCTAATGTTTTATCCTCGAAATAAATCATCTCTCGTTTTTCCTCTTTCTATGCGATAAACGAGATCCAAGAGAGAATAATTAAAAATAAAGTAATTGAAAAAGAACGATCCTTTATGTTCTTCTTTTTCTGTTCTTTTTTTTTTTTTTTTCTTTTTTTTCTTTCTTTTTTATATGTTATATCAGAAAGTAATGAAATGATTATAATTTAGATAAGAATGAAGAGAACGTGGTATAAATCAACACAGTAATTACAAATACATCCAATTATGATAGTAATTATAAAAATTATATATCCTTTATCTATATATATTTCAATAATGTTATATTATTAACATTGGATTTAATGATATTGATTGCATATATTCATTTTTATTCGTAAAACATCATTAATATCGTGATAAAATTATGTAATAAAGAGAAAAGAAATAAAGAAAAGATAATATCTATTTATGATTTCTCTTAAAGTGAAGCTTGAAATTAAAAATCGATAAATTTAATATCGAAAAGATATATCAGGATTTTGACGATCACTTTCTGTTATTTAAACGTAAATAAAAAAGTTTCTTTCTTGGTTGTTTCCATAATTATTATTTATTTCAACAAATTTAAAGAAATGAATTATTATTGTTATTATGGAAACTTAGAATCATCATTAATAACAGTTTTCTAAAATGAGTTCGAAGAATTATCATCATCGTCTATTAGTTTAGACTCTCTTAGTAATTAGAAAGTCGCATACCTTTGAGATTACATAAGGGACGTCTATATAGGCACACACACACACACACACACACACACACAAACACACACGCGCGCGCGTTTATTTCTACTTGATTTTATTGAGTATATGCGTGTATATATATCTATGTATATGTGTGTGTGTGTATGTGTATGTATATGTTACGTTCCAGAGAAACCACCGTCTGACGGCGTGTCTGACGTGTTCTAACGCGGTGCCGTTGGCGACGCACGCGACGATGCGAATTTTGTTCTCGACGGCTTGCTTCGACTATTTTTCTTCTTCCTTCGACTATGCGTGCACGCACACACTGACCTTTGTTAACGTTTCGCTTTGAGACCGAGGGAGATATTAAGACAACACGCATACACGTATACATAGACGTACAGATATAGGTAGACGTATACGTATACGTATATGTATACCGTATACTTTCACGGAAATAACGTTATTTTCCAATTAAGTTGCCAAGGACTCCCGGCAAAGTTCATTATTAGACATCATAATTAATAATTATCAGTTTAACGACACCTGAGAATTACTTTTTCTTTATCTTGTTATTAATTTAAATATACGTAACTGTATTCATGCATGCGTGTTTATACGAACGTACGTATGTAAACATATGTACATATATATATATATATATATATATACGTTAGTCGTATTCGAAGCTTAGTAGTACCACGAAGAGGGTCCTGTTACTCTCGGAAATTAGGTTCCGTGGTTTCAATTAGGATCATGTACGAGTTATCGCGATGGTAGGCGAAAACGTACGAGCGTGATTGCTATGCTCGTTTAAGCCGGGAAAGCGCATCATCTAGAGAGTAGAGGGTAGGTGGGGGGAGGAGGCAGTAGAGAGAGAAAGACAGAGAGAGAGAGAGAAAGAGAGAGAACCAGATAGAGGACCAGATAGATAGATCGGAAGGATTCTATCGAAACCGAAGTTAGTTCAAAGGGACGCTTAGATCTTGTTAAATACTCGATGAAACGCTCGACGTAACGTCGGTTTTGCATCGAATCTACTCCCGTAGGAAGATTAACTTCTTGCATCGTCGATCGATCCATCTATCGTGAATGATCGAACCAGGAAATACATTGTTTTCTTTTTTTTTTTTTTTTTTTTTCTCTATTACTTCCGATCGGCTGGAAATAAAGCCAATGAAGAGGAGAGAAGATTTAAGGATTTATTCGAAAATAAATTTTGATTTACAATATATAAAACAGAGAAAGGATCGATATATATATATATATACTATATATACTATATATCGATTATGCAAAAGTGTTCAATGCAGACGACAAAAGAAATCACGTCGCAAAATCTCGTGACATTGAATTGGTAAGGGTCATCGGACAATGATACAAAACAAAGTATTGATAATATCGTTCATTGAAAACTATCATCCAATTCGTCATAGGCGTGTACATAAGAAGGAAATAGCTCGCGGATAAGAGAATGATCCATTAGCCATAGGAGAAGGTAATATGGTATTAACACGCGCAAGAGGGGCGTGCTGACCTATCCCACTGGCCAAACGACGGAGGCAGAGAAAGAGAAAGAGAGAGAGAGTGAGAGAGAGAGAGAGAGAAGAGAGAAGGATATACGTGTGAAAGGGGAAAAGGTAATAGGAGGAGGGTGACGGCCATTCCTTACCATCCTGGCACAGTTAATTACCGTGGATTATGATTCTCTTGAACAGAGATCAACCTTGCCTTCTTTGAAAGGGTTATCTACATTGACTGTCTGCTTGCTGTATGTTAAAATACTCAACCTATTCTGCTTTTGTTATATTGTTTGCTGTATTTTAATCGTTAATTATTCTATATCATCGTCTAAACTGATCGTTTAAACTATAAATACGATATTATATTTTGTTCGTAGAATTTTTTTCTTCTTTTCCATATTTTTTTTTTTCAGGACAGGACAGTGGACGGGGTGGGGGAGGAAAGAAATTATTCGTGATAATAATTTAGTGTAGAGTTAAATAATATTTAGTAATTTATTCTTTATTACTTATAATAAATTTTCTTTTCAATATTTATTGAACGACATTGAAGAAGAAGAAGAAGAAAGACAGACAGAGAGAGAAAGAGAAAGAGAGAGAGAGAGAGAGAGAGAGAGAGAGAGAGAGAGAGAGAGAGATTTCGGTGGAAGCCAGTAAAAATGGCAAGACAGCAGTCGGACTGACTGGCACCACCATAGCACCAGCAGCAGCATCGACACTTTTGTGGGTGCAGGAACCGCGTAAAATATAAAATCCTTCGGTAGACGACTTCGAATTGCGATATTATTCAAAGTGTTTCACGCGCTTTAGAGTTCGTTACTTTTATCTCTTTTCCCTTTTCGCGATGGAAAATTTTCATCTAGAGAGTTAGCCACTTTGAAACTTCCTGACGGACGAACGTTTGTTTTGCCGAGGTCGTTCGTTTCTTGATAACGGTTAAAGATGAGCCAGGAAGTATATGAATGTAACTAAGTACATTGTTTTAATTTCCCACGAGTCCAAGAGTAAAGTACAAGGAAATATTTTTAACGATTCCAAGAGAAACATCATGTGAATCTATATGGTAAATATGTAGAGTTATGAAAAAGTCTGTTGACTTGACGATTTATTTATTTCTTTTTTTTTTTTTTTTTTTTTTTATTAACAATGTTACAACATTATTTTTAAACATATCATATTAAAATATAATAAGTATTAATAAGAAAGAGATTGCATTATGTCGTGTTTCAATGAATAAGGATACGTGTTTATTGCAAATAAATATCGAGAACAATTGAATTATTAACATTGATGTACCAATGTGTGTGTATGTATGTATGTGTGTGACATTTTTAAAAAATGTCATAAATCAATAACATGTATTATTGTATCTAGTATATAGCGATAGTTAGATTGTATTTTATTAAATATATATTTTTGGTATATCGTTTGATTATTATCGTTGATCGCCTCCCAATCTCTTTCTCTCTCACATTTCATATATATATATGTGTATGTATGTATGTATGTAATATTGCTTGGAATAAAACACGTATGGTTCATGTAGGGTGTGTACGTGGTCCGAACGGGCCGAAAACTTTTATGACTTTTAATCAGACGAACGACGAACGGTCGTGCGAGTACGATGATGTCGAGTTCATTTGCGCTAATGAAATCAGTGTTATCTCTTCGGCCAGTGGTCTCTCTATTGCACCAACTACCATTCCGTCAGGAACCGTATTGTAAACCATAATGGCTGTTGTTCAAGTAGCTTTGTGATAGTAAAAGCGAGAGAGAGAGAGAGAGAGAGAGAGAGACAAAGAAAAAGAAAGAGAGAGTGAGAGAAAATCGTCGTTGAAGAGAACAATGACCAAGTCCATGTATATACATCTATAGACGTACATTCTTATATTATATATGATATATATATATATATATATATATATATATATATATATATATCAGAGAGAGAAAGAGAAGTATATTAAGCCACAGGCAGAAAATATTTTCTACCAACAGGGAAGAAGTAATTGGACGGACATGAGGGTCATCGTTCAGCGACCAGGGATTATTTATTCTACATTGTGCTACGCTCAGAGACGAAAAGTTTTTCTCATTGTAGGAGATAAATCTCGTTCGATGGTACACCAGTATTTTTTCTTTTTCTTGTTCTCTTTTTAGAAAGAAAGAAAGAAAGAAAGAAAGAAAAAAAAAGAAAACTAAAATAAAATGAAAGAAAGAAAATATCAGATATATCGACAATAAATTCAAAGAATATTTTTAGTCAATATGTATTAGAAGGTATATTGTGAGGATTATTGCCATCGTAAAAGATTTTAATAGGCAACATATTTTATCATCGATATAAATCAATGAAGGCGTCATTTTTAATCGATCGTTTATATGTATATATATATATAAAATATTGAAAAATATTGAATTTTTCTAAAGAAAAATAATATATTAAATTCGGAAATTTCTTTTTCTGCAGATCATCGTAGATTATAATTTTTTCTATATTTTTCTTTTCTTTTTTTTTTTTATACAATATATTTCAATCACTACAGTACGATATCTTATATAAAAATAATAAAATTATATATAAATTTGTTCGATCTAGAATTTGTTTGGTCGAATGGGAAAGAAAAGGAAAATAGAGAAAAAAAGAAAAAAAGAATGAAAAATATCGAAGATTCGAACGCGAAAGATAAGAAAAGAAAGAAAGAAAGAAAAAAAAAAAGAAATAAAAAATAAAAAAATAAAAAAAAGATTAGATTTAAATCTCTTAATTAGATTCATTTTCAAAACGATATTACGATATAATCGTTCGAATGAAAGTGGTACACCCTGTATGCATAGTTAATAATATAATATCTATGAAACAAACTGTTGGAAAGTTTCCGTGACGGTGGACAATGAATTGAAGGAAAAACGATTTCGAGGAGTTTACGTTACGTTTCGCAGAGTTTGTATCTTGGTAAATGGAGTTCACGCATTCATGTCTCGCGGCACGTGTTGGGAGGTAATCAAGCGGAGTACTTCCTCCCAGTCGTTCTCTCCTCTTTCTCTACTTCTTCGTTTGCCATATAAGAGGACGAATATTTTAAGATCAGATTTTACTATTTTCCAGGTCTCCTAGGAAGATCCTAGAGTGAAGAGCATCGCGTTGCGAACGATGACGTGCAACGAAGTATTATCATATCCGTTTTCCTCGTCAACTTCGTCGTCGTCGTCGTCGTCGTCGTCGTCGTTGTCGTCTTTGTCGTCGTTGTCGTCGTCGTCGTCGTTGTCGTCGTCGTCGTCTTTGTCGTCGTTGTCGTCGTCGTTGTCGTCGTGGTCGTCGTCATGGTCGTAACGCAGACGACGCTTTAATAACATCGTCTCACCTCTTTCCTCTTATTATTCGTAGCTCGTTGTCGAGCTTTCTCAGCCGGTTTCCTCGTAAGATTAGCATCGTATTTCTTGTTCGCAAGAACGTTTCAAATTAAGAGCCATCGCACCTGAGTTTCGCGAAAATTTTCAACAGATAGATAGATAGATAGATAGAAAGAGAGAGAAGAGAGGAAAAGTCTCATTATCATCTTCGATTCATAAAAAGATGACTATAACTTAATGTTTCCTCCATATATATATATATATATATATATATATATATATATATATATATATATAATTATCGGTATTAACCATAATTAAAGAGTAGCTTGATCAAAATGTTCAAGACGAAGGTTATTAGATCTATCGATTGGATCATAACATGTTCTCTAATTTAGAGATCCTCAACGTGTGTTAGATGTACAACATTAATGATGCTACATCATGATTGAAATATCCTATATACATATATATATATATATATATGTTTTAGTTTTATTTTCATTGTGACAGATATTATATCACAACAATTTTATCTATCCATATAAATGATAAACCAATTACATAACACATTTTCATAATCTATATGAAGAATAAAAGATTGAGAATTACTGCTGTTCTAAATGATTAACTTTGAAAACATTTTAAATCCATTTTAACGGCGAGCACAAAGATTATTATTATGATATTTATTAACGATCAGCTGATCAATTCACGACTGTAAGTCGATTGATAAAAAGGAAAATGATGGTGTGTAATATTTAATTCTTTAAGTAATATTAAATTAATAAAATAAGTAATATTTATTAAGTAATATTTAATTCTTTGTCTAATATCGTATACATTGTTTATCTTATTTCCTTAATTATATTTACCATATTATTATTCGTTTACAATTTGTTTCAAAGGACTCGTATATCCATTGAATGACAAAAAGAGATGGATATCTGAACGAAGCTTTTTATTTCAAATCTTTCTCTCTCTTTTCCTCTCTCTCTCTCTCTCTCTCTCTCTCTCTCTCTCTTTATCTCTATCTTTAATTTCTTACGAACGTAGAATGAATTTTCTAAAGACGTTTGAATGTTCGACCACTCGAAATCTCCGCCCAACGTCCAAGAAAATTTTTTCCTTTATAGAATCACATGGGCTATTCCTTTTCCATAAGAATCGAAATAGAATTCGAATCAAGTGAAGTTCGAAGGGCGGCTTGCTTTTCCCACAGAATGGCCCGGATGAAGGAGATCCTGGTAATAATAGAGTACACGGGGTACGCTTCTCTAGGCTACGTCTATTCAACCTGTCATTCGCGTTTTGCGGTCACCATTGTGATTTGCAATGGTAACCCTTCGCACATCCTGCCTATTGTCGCGAAAACGTGCACTCTCTACCCCCACCTCTTTCTCTCTCTCTCTCTCTCTCTCTCTCTCCCTTAACTGTTCGCGATCGTTTCGTCTCTCTTTTTCTTTCAATCGATGCCTATTTCTGTCTTTCTCAAACTCGTCGATATCCTCTCTCTCTCTCTCTCTCTCTCTCTCTCTCTTTCTCTGTCTTCTTTTTTTTCTTTTTTTCTCTCTAACACCCGGAAACAAATAAACGCATAATTCTAACGGTATATGCAAGCACGTGGGTATACTAGCAGCATTTTCTAAACCTTCTAATTCCGTAGATGTATACGTGCACATGTATAAATTCTATTCCTATATCCTTGATGCGCCCGTGCGAAAATCCTTGCAATATTATTTGTCTCCACGTTGTAATATCTTGCGATTTTTGTCAATCATGAAATAAAACGGCAACATTTTTATATTTAACAATAGACGCATATTCATAATTTTCATTTAATTTTCATTTAATTTTTCATTGTAAAGATATTACATAGATATTTACGTATATGTTAGATCAGTAATATTCAATGATCTTTTTTTAATGTGATGTATTAAATATCAAACGTTAAAATATATTACTTATGATTAATCATTGATAAACTTTATATATACTAAGACTATCTTGAAATAATTGAAATTTCTTTTCGTTAGAATATTTCCCGATTCTTTTTTTTTTTTTTTTTTTTTTTTTTTTTTTTTTTTTTACTTTTATTTTTATTTTATTTC